CACTGAATAGTATAGAAGAGTCTGCCACATCCTGGACAGAAAACTGTATACTCGGTTAAGCCTGGAGATTTACTCTCTTGCATTGGAATAAGTTTGGTAAACTACTCAATTATGGCTCATCTYATTTGTAGGCGGAATGCTTCACAGTAAAGGTCAGCATGTGATTAGTACTGTTCTTTAGCTAGTAAAGATGTGAAATGAGTGAAATATCATTTCCTTAAATGGCCATTAGGAAACACTGATAAATGTTAGAAGAATTTTTTTTCCTTTCCTGTGTGGAAATGTTTCAATAGCATGTGAAGATGTAGGGTTAAACTTAGCTCGCAGGACAGTTTCTGAACTGGATGACTTCTTGGTGATCACCTTTTTAATTTGGTTTGCCCATTTTCTAAGGAGCCATGCCCTTACATGTCATTTGGTGGTAGCGCAGTATTGCAAATGGAGCCTCCAATTTTGAAGGGTTGAACTTGCATCACAGGTGTAGAATTTATGTATTGTGTACTCACAGTGCTACTGGAATAAACCAAATGCTATTTATGTGATCAGTTGAATCTCTGGCACTTWATCAGAATCAGTCTGCCTCCTAGGAAAGGAGGATGCTGCAGGACCCTGGAAGTTTCCRCAGAAGATGCTGATCAGGATGAGAATCCTTTTTTTGCCTCCAAAAGCTATTTATTAATGCTGTGTGCACACTGTGGTTGTTTGTCTCCTATGAAGATAGATAGCTACACAATAATTTCTGAATTCTAATTTGAGTAAACATAGAGCAGTTATGTCTATTTACTCTTCTGTATTGAACTAGAGTTGTATGTACTCTGAGTTCAGTGTTTCATCAAGGTGATAAAACAACAGAGAATTTTAAGGAGATGTAGTTAGAATAATGTGGGTCCTAGGGTAGGGTTTTGTAACAAATTATCTTAATGTCAGTGTCCTTAACTACCTGAATGAAGCTGTGACTTTATTCTTACAACCTGCGTGTTCATATGCCAATTGGAATAGTCCTATACACTCCGGTTGCTAGCTAATCCTCACTAACCAAAGTGGAGTCTTGAGTCTAACCACCAGGCTCTAACCTGCAATTCCTTTTTGTCCAGTGGTTRTAACTCATGCCAGTCATTCACTGGGTTGTCCTTGATTCAGCGCACCTGCCTCACTAGTACCTTAACTTTCTGCTTCTTGAAACATGTGATCTGACCACCACAAGACTTTTTCTTTTTGCTGCTTGTAGCATGCTGTTGCAGCATCATCAGTTGATGGCAAATTCCATCTTTATCATTATCTTATTCACATCGTTACTACTTATCCACAGCTTGATTAGCTGTATATATCTATGTATATAGTGCTGCAGATATTCTTTAATGGGATTCTTGCTTCAATCTCATCACTCACTAATTTGACATTGCATGAGACATTCTGTGTTTAAAGTAAATTCTTAGTAGCTCCCTGTGTCTGTAGTCTCCTGTTGAAATGCGGTGGTTTTACATTTTATGCTCTTACATGTCTTTCACTCTGGTTGTGGCAGAAAAGAGCTTGTATGGAGCATCCAGTACTGCTACTAGAGTTGACAGTGAAAGTGGTGACCACTAGCTATGCTCGTTTTGGCTGTTCCTGTACAGAAGGGTAGTGCAGTATGCAGAGTAGACCTACTATTTGGTGCTGCAAAGGTGTATTTTAGAAGCAGCAGGGGGAATGAAATCTGGAAGGAGGATTTCTGTGTTTGTTTTGGAGTGATTGGATGCAATGAATACCAAGAAAATGAYGTCTTTTTATTTTGTATTTGCATGCAAGTACTTTCAGTCTTGAGAATGTGTAGCTCTGAATTCGACTAGAAAAGCCAGTAGTTAATGTCCTGACATGCTTCACACTTCGTCTTCTGCAAGAGAAAGGCTACTGTAGACATCCAGTTTTCTAGGTGTGAAGAACCGCTGCRCCTATGGGTTCTAATTTGGTTTTGAGTTTGTTAAGTCTTGTGCAAAATAAACACATGTAAACTTCTGAACACACTGATTTGGGTTCTTGAGTAAATAACTCATAAAATCAGCACAGAAAAGCTGCTATGAGCAGAAAATGTTCCCAACCTGCAAATTTGTCTTGGAGAGAAAGACTCTTTTACCAACTTTCCACTTTTGACTRATAGTGCTCCCGATTCTCAGTGCTTTCATGACAGTACAGACAGTCCTGTGCTTTGTTCATGRCAGGAATATCCTTAGACAACATAGCATAAATTACGAAAACTCTATTTTAAGAGAAATTTTTAAATAAATAAAATAATTTTAAGATTTGTTTTTTCTTTTTCTCTACCTTTCTTGCATAAGCAAATACTGCAGGCTTCTGATCTATCTGGAAGAAAGGCTGAAATGGGTTGAAATGCTGATTTAGGTTATCAGGCGAAGCATGTCTKCTAAAATGTTACGGTGTTTCTGTCACAATGGAGACAAAGCATAGTTTGCAGATTGCAGAACAAACAACATTTGTTAGMCCTTATGTTGACCATGGATTAACAATTTATGTTGCCAAAGCACAGTTTGAGTAAATGCCCAAGGGTGTAGAGTAGACAGGGGCAGTCRGTGGAGAGACATAGACACCAGTATTGAAAACAAGGACAAAAGTCTGTGAGGCTATGGAATAAGATTCAGTAGGAGTCCAGAATACAAGGAATAGCTTGGRTTTTAGTGAGGTCTGGAGAGCACAAAGGTTGGATAGGTTAGAGAAGAGGGGTGTTGTTTTGAGCGTGTATGATTTCATACCTTGTTACTAAAATTGTAAGTTAGTAAGTATCTGGTGCCTGTTGAATTTCCTCCAAGGATACTTTTTGCTTAGACTACCTTCTTGCCTTTTTTTTTTTTTTTTAATTATTATTTTTTAAGATGAGTAAGAGCTATAGATATGGAATTAATTTCTCTGTGTATCCTATGTGCTACGTCATGGGATTTCAAGTTTCTTTTTGAAATACAACTTGCAGTCCACTTAGTAAATAAAATGGATTACTTATRGTAACTGTTACTTATGGTAACTATGACTAGTCAGACAACCTAAATCCTTGCCAGAGCTATTCTAGAGGCTTTTAAAAATCCTATTAGAAGATTTTGTATGCAGATGGTAGAGAGAGGATAAAAAAAACCCCAACAAAATAAAGCACATTGTGCAGTGCATTTTGCTGCTCCCTCTTTTGCCAAGGGCAGTTTATGCTTAAGACATCAGCTGTAGATGGAATTTATCTCTGCTGTTTGTAAATAAAAGTGAWTTTTTAATGAATCTGGAGTTCTTGAAGTGAGTTTAGGAATAGCAAGCACAAAGCTTTATGTATTTTATGCAATTACGATTATGCTAATTATAACCACATAAATGTCACAATCTTCTTGTAAATGTTAAGTTCAAAGAGTATGTTAGTTTTAAGTGTGAACTGCCAGATCAGAAGATTCAGTTTTGTTGAATGTGGGTTGTAGAGTGCACAATGTGACCTTTTAACACCTCTCACTGCTGATTAATGAGTAAAATCTGAAGAAGTTTGATTGTACAGGACCTACAGTGAATTTACAGTTTGAATTAAAATTGTATTTATCATATCTGTAAAACTATATTTATCACATCTCTAAGTGGAACTGCCTTAATAAAAAATTGTGAAATTAGCATGAAATTTCCTAATGGAAAGTCAGACAACTTGGAAAACTGCATTTTTTAAAGAGTACTGCAGGCTTTCATTTGTTTACCCAGTTTTTAGCTTTCTAATGGTAGTATTTGAAAAAAATTGCTTTGCGCTTGTGAATTAACAAAAGCTAGTCATGGATACCAAAAAATCACTTTGCTAATATTGTGTAAGTTACATGCTATTTCTTTTTTTTTTTTTTTTTTTACATACTGGATATAAAAGCTGTTGACATTTGATCCAATCATTCTATTTTAATTCAGTACTGACAATTGCTCCCTTGTCAGTAAAATCTTGAAGATTCTTCAAGGTCTTAAGAAAACAAAAATACAAATTTGAATAGGTTATTCCTTATGTTCCATCCCTGGGGAGAACTGTTTTGTAGTCTCCCTGTATCAATCTCCTTTTCTTCCTCAAGAATTAAAACAGTGTCTGTAGTTTTTGGATCTTAGTATGTCTGAAGATTTAGTATTTGGSAACTCATTGAAAAGGCTTGTCTGTGTGACTGTCTACTTTTAAAAGTAGCTATAATCAATATTCTTGTAATAACGAATGCTGAGAGGRTGGTTAGTGTTGTATTATGGCTAATGCTTATTCTTTTCCTAAAATCTTTTTGCCTATATGACTGTTTTTAACAGACCTTAATTATCTTAGAAATGTATACATACTYGAGAATTTTTACCTCCTGAGCAGCAAACTATCTCAATTGCTTACAATTACCTGTTTATACTTCTCAATAGACCTTCCATACTGAGTATTTCAACCTTTAAAGTATACAGCTTTCTTTTCTGGTACCTAGTAATACTGATGAAAGATTTCTTCACTGAAATGTTAAGTTCAGCTGTCTTATGGCAGGTAGAAAATGGTTCCTTACAATTTATTATTTCTTTTCTGTATGCACAATTCTTGTTCAACCTGCGARTAGTGTTTGAAAACTTAGAGTCTTTTGAAAAGTTTAAATCTTTGTCTTTCCTGGAAATCAGATTACAGAAAGGTTGCTGGAAAACTGCAATAAGAGCTATTGTCAATTTCATACCAATGACTTCTGTCTTCTGTTAATAAAAAGTGAAAATAACCCATTTTGTGGGTAGGTGTTTGTTAACCTCTGCATAAATTAACTATTTTCTGGATAAAGAATTATTTGTTGATCTAGCTTCTGTGGAGGCACTTCTTTTGGAGTCTTACGTGAGTCTTACTGTTTAAATCTTTCAACCAAGCATCATCRGCAACTATCTTTACACTTAAAGATGGCTCCTACTGTACGTAAATGCCCTGTAAAATGATTTTCTGCTTTTTTTTTCTATTATGAGCAGACAATTAAACTGTTAACCTCATCTCTCTCTTCTCACACAAGAGCTCCAAGCGAGAATGGAAGCCTCTGGAAGATCACAGCTGCACAGATGTACCATGGCTGCTCTTATTCATCCTCTTCTGCATAGGAATGGTGAGTAAAACTCAGAGGATTTTRTAAATGTTATGTAGGTGAAAAGTTTGCATTCATAAGAAAGGAATTTTAAAACCTGACAGTAACTTAATCACTGGGAAACATCAGGATATATTTGCATGGGAWCTGTCAGCTGTAGAACAGAAATTGATAATGTGTACATATCAGAGGCCTTGGTTCGGCATCCATAATTAGTTGTTTTTGCCAGGTCTTGCACCAGGTSCTCTTGCTCTGAAATTGCAGTTTCAGTGGTAAGTGATTTTCAGCATGGTGAACTATCATTTGACTCATGTTCCTTTGGGACTGTACATGTCCCAGAAAGGATAGCTGGTAGTCTGGTAAACAGTTAAGTGAATTAGAGTAAACCTTTTGTGAGAAACAAAGATTCTGTTTATCAAAGATTTGTCAAGGCTTTTATTTATTTATTTGTTTTACTGGATTCTTAGCAGAAACAGCTGTTGTTAACAATCATATCACTAACGGTCTTTCTTTCAAAATTGTGCCAGTTCTGTTCTCTGTGATGAAACCATCACCTTTCGCAAGTCAACCTCACAACACTGCACTTTATATTAAAAAAACAAACCTCCAAGAGCTGCAGATTAGTGACAATGAGAAGTACACTTCTTTTCACCTTKTTTGGTTTTACGGACCTGTGTTTGCTATTCTTCTTCAACAGAGAATGTTCATAGCTGTCTCGTTGTGCTGTGCTGGAAGCAGTTGTCCTTTGGGGTGTAGGACTTGTGTGCTCTCAGCTTTCTTTTCTGTTGTTCCTTGGCCTTTGCTACTTGGAATAATTCCTCTAAAAAATTTCTTCTATTTTCACCAGGATGTTTTTCAATGGTTGGGCTTCAAATGCAAAAATTATAATGATGATTTTAAATCATCTGAGTTACATTGTCACTGTAATGTGAGTATCTTGGAATTGCAAAAAGCACAGTGCTTTCTGAAGCAAGTAGCTCTCCTTTGTGTTTGTTTTTTTCCTGGTTTTGTTGATATTCTCTGTTTATTCGATTATACTCACCTGTTCCCCCAATTATAGATCAGTTTTCTGTGCATGAGTGTCCCAGATTTTCCTGTCTAAGCACTATAATATACAGAGCAATCATCTGACTGGGTCACACACCTTGTTAGTTACTGTTCTAGGAAATTTCACTTGCAGGATGCACCACCCACGTTTTCGCTGTTCCATGCCAACTTCATTACCTGTTGCCGTCACCTCATCTGATCCTGCCACTGCCATCTGTTGTTCCATGCATTTGTCTCAGCYGTTTATTCTGCTCCCACTTCTCAAATCTTAGTCTGCCTCACGTGTGAAAACAGTGGAATGTGCAGATGGTTCATTTCTYGCTGTCAGTGGTTTGCTAATGAAGCTTTTGGGCCAGTTTCTTGTTTGCGGAATCACTGCCTTGATCATGCTTTTGCTTGTGGAATATCGCAGCAAGATCTGACTGCTTGGGGTATTTTTCATACTACATGGTATAGCAGGTTGAGCTTGGCTGGGTGTCAGGTACCYTCTAAGCTGCTTTATCACTCCCCAGTGGGATGGGGGAGAGAATAAGATTGAGAACAACCAGCAGGTGAGATAAGGCAGTTTTATTGCAGTGAAAGGAAAGAAATAAGCAAGAGTGTGTGTACACATAAGCTAAGAAAAACAGTCAGTCTGTACGTCCCATCAGCAAGCGATGGTTGGACACGTCTTGGGAAGCAGGGCTTCAGCACACCTAATGGTTCCTCTGGGAGACAAATACTGAAGAATCATGAATGCCCCCTTTTGTYTTGATTTTCTTCTTCAATATGGTATCACAGGATTGTAACCTCTATCTCTAATTGGCCCAGGCTTGGCCAGCGGTATGTCCATCTTCAGAGCCATTAGGGATTGGCTCTGCTGGACATTGTGGAAGCTTCCAGAAGCTTCTCACAGAAGCCACCTCTCTGTCCCCCTGGTACCAAAAACCAGTCTGCGCAAAACCAACGCGCATGGTCTGAGCCATCTTATTTTGCATCTGTTTCTTTCCTTCATTTAAAACCAGCATCTTAAACCATAGTGGCCTTGACCTGGTCACTTGCTTTAAGAGTATTTCCTTAAAAGCAATTTGTGTTAGATAGGCCTCTTCATTCTAGCTCATCTTTGAAARCACATARCTTAAAGGAAAGGGGAAAAAAACAYTTGAAAGGAAAAAAGTCTGGATTATAGGGAATTCTCAAAGATGCATTGCAATCCCTGACATCTCCTTCGCTGCTTGTAGCTCTCTGTCACTGCCTGCCCTTGCCAACTTGCTGACCTCTTCCTTCTGCTTTATGCCCTAMTGCTGACCATATGACTCAAAAAAACACCTACGAGACTCTTAACAATGCTTGTATAATATCCAGTGCTAGATGTCTGAATCCTCTTTTAGCATGCATTCCATTTTATTATTACACAGCAGTTCTCTATGATGATCCTTGTCTTTCCTTTTCCAGTCTGAAAGAATTTTTAGACAAGCTCTGCTTAGAAACCAATTAATAAAACTAACTTTTCCCAGCTGTCAAACAGAGTATTGCTAAACTGTGGGGTTTTTTATTCCTCCAGGGTTTTATCTGTGGCTTTTCAATAGCTACAGGAGCAGCTGCAAGACTGCTTTCAGGATATGACAGTTACGGAAATATTTGTGGACAGAAAAATGTCAAGGTGGAGGGAATAGTCAACAGTGGTCTGGACCTCACACACAAGAAGTAAGTATGTGATTCAATTTTTGCATTCTGTAAACCAGGACTGGCAAAACCTTTCTTCCTTTGAGAGTGGTTTTAAATTAAGTGGGAAAAGGGATATGCCAACTCATGCCAACTTGTCCTTTGACACTTTTCACCTTTTGTCACCTAGACAACAATCTTTTGTAACAACTGGCAATATAAAACTACATATTGGTGGATATGCAATATGAATACAGCTAGGACATTGAGGAACTGCTTTTTCTTAGAATCCATGTCATGTAGGATATTGTATTAGGCTGCTGAAAAGTCTTGTGTGTTAGAGTTTTAGGTTTAAGTGACAAGTATTCTCAGATTTGTGAGTAGGCCTTTGATATCAATGGAGAAATTGTCTGYTTTTGATGCTGTATGCTCATTTTCTGTCATTGAGTGGGGTGAGATATATTTGGCACATTAAAATAACACCTCAAGATTTAAACTGTAGGCAKAATATGCATAAATTACTTGTGGAGAAAACGCACAAAACCTTGGAGGTGCACGCAGCTCTGATTAAGCAGTGCCCTGTTAAAGCTTGGACTTAAAGTTCAGGTACCTCCTCCCTGTTGTATAGAAAAACKTAACACTGCAGTAGTAGTAGTGGAGCAGTAGTAAGAATTCTGCACTGATGGGCTGGAAACCTGTGAACGTCTGTTGAGGTCTGTCAGTCAGGGCTCAGAGCCCTTCTGTATATATATCTTAAGGTCACTTAAGAAAGTAAACTGTTTACCTTAACCATAGAACAGTGGTATTAACTGACAAAAAGTGTTTCTTTCCTTGTTGATTACTTCAGGGAATTAAAAAGTTATTAATTTCTGAATATGACATCCTGCTGCTTCACACTTTCTGACTAATAGAAAACTGATGATTTTCATAAATTATTTTGGAAGCATGCTTTCCTGATATCTGATTATTTTTAGTTGCTATTCAAAAGACTTCTAAATATCTCATTTAAGATTTAATGTGGCTAGATAATTGGTGGTTACCAGAAAGATCTGAGACAAATAAAATGTCTGGAACTTTTTAAARATATTTTTGTTGTCAGAAAAATAATTCCTTAATCTAATTCCATCTTTTAGGAAGATTGAAAGGTTTAAAATTTACGCAGCATAGTTTTCCTGTTTTTTTTTTTACCAAAACGTTTTAGCACTTTCTAAACCATATGTATTCAGTACAAAACTGTGATTCTCTTGTTCTGAGAGAAAATGCAAAGTTTCAAATCATAATTGTAAGTTTACCTTTAGGAGAAACGGTGTCTGAGTTCATGTGAAAGTAGAGAAATTCAGACACCTTACTGAAATGTAATAATTAATATTGTGATAGTCTTCTATGTGTGATGTAAATCAGGCCATCATGTGGGAAGACATCTACCATTAAGTGATTTCCTCTTGTAAAAGTAAGGTCAAAAGACAGCAAATAAAAAGAGAGACTTTTTAACACAGCTAATTTACAGAGCCCATTGTTTTTCAAGGTGTCTTAATGAGGTTCAAAAGAATTACATTTTTCTRACAAAGATGTCATGGCTTGAGGCACAACCTAAGCAAATTAATTGATGCACACATATCAGTGTGTATATTGTCTTTATTTGGTTGAGAGCAAACCTGCTAAGACAGATTATTCTTTAACTGTTAACCTGAAGTGCCTGGTACAGTCCAGGATATGCAGTTTTGGAAGAGATCGGTTCTTGTATCCTTCCTTCTCTCACACCCTGTAGTTTCTTCTGAAAAATTGCCAAGCAAATTAAAAAAGCTATCTGCTTTGCATCTGTCTCTAGCAGATGGAGTTCCTACAGTGTCTGAGGTGAAGTTCATTGGAGTATTTAATGCTATTTTTATAGGAGCACTTTGCAGACAGACTGTAAAAATAAACTCTTCTTCCTGCCTGTACATTTCAGTTTGTAAAGAAAGAAAAGACTTTTAAGCTYCACAAATGGAGCTCTGGAAACATGAAGTTATTCTCATTTCATTTTGCTTGCAGGGTAATTCTGTTTTCATTTCCCAGTCCAAGGGCTGAAAAGTTAAATCATCTGTAAAAATAACATTTTCTTCCCTGTATATGACAGCAACCCATAGGCACTGTCATGTGGAAGTGGAATTGATGTGGTCTGTGTGGATATGGAAATCTGGGTGGTAAGGGTGAAGAGCAGAGTCCTCACAGGGATATGATTTGCTCTGTGTACATCAGATATGCTGAAATCAGTGAGATGATATGTTGAGAACAAGGATTTTACAGCCTGGTCTCACGAACAATGAGTGGATCAGACATATTTTATTTTTATAAAAGAACCACAGCACACTTCAATAGTCTGTGCTCTAGAGCCAGACACAGGATTATACTCTAGCCATGGCACTGAATTCTAATTAAATCTATCTGCTTCAAGTAAGCCCCTTGCTTTACAAGTTCWGGTAGTTACAATGGTGTTTAAAAAGATGACCTTTTATTTGCAAATAAATKATGAACATGGCAGACAAATGTAAGTCCCTGAAATGCTAGTTCAGTCTGGTTTTTGATCCCCAAACATTGTTACTTGGACAGAATTCAGTTTGTGCTGTCTACTCAAGTACAAGGAGATGTGCATGTGATGCTGTGGGGAATAGTTAGGGTGCCGTTCCACCTGAACATGCCTTTGGCCTCAGGAAATGCTTGGAGTGTAGTTAATGGGAACACCCATTAAGGAAGAGTTTGCAGCATGCACACAGAGAATTTGGTTGAGTTAAACTATATATGCYCTACTGTTAAAGAAATGTTTAACACTAAACTCTCATCTCCATTAGATGGTACAGGTCAATTATGATACTGGATTTATGTACCTTGAGAAAGAGAACCTAAACAAAGAAATCCCAGGAAGTTATTTCCTTTGCAATTTAAACACCCTATCCTTCACATGACAGCCTGGACCWGCAGCGCTATAAGGGCCTGGAGTAGTCTTGCTTTTCATTAGTTTGCTGTTGCATTGCTAAATGGTTGCCATATGGTCATCTTCACACCCTCCTAGGTTGGTTTTTGTGGGGGTTTCACTTGGTTCTTTACTGCACGTTGCAATATGGTAGTTACACTTCCTATGGAAACCATGCCCTATGGGCTGTACACTCCAGCTGTTAATTTTTAGGTAATATTTAGGATTGTAGCTTTGTCTATTCTAACTGTTACTAATGTTCAGATACTAGCTCTAGGTTTCTCCTCTACAGCTACCTGAAAGGAGGYTGTAGATGGGGGAATCAATCTCTTCTCCCAGTAACAAGTGACAGGATGAGAGGAAATGGTCTCAAACTGTGCAAGAGGAGGTTTAGGTTGGACATTTTAACAAATTTCTTTATGAAAAGATTATCAAGCCCAGGGAAGTGGTTTAGTCACCGTTCCTGGAGGTATTTRTACGATGTGTGGATGTGGTGCTTAGGTACATGGTTTGTGTTTGTGCCTGCTTAGGGCAGTGCTGTGTTTGCAGTCAGAGTAGGTGATGTGAAGGGTCTTTCCCAACCAAAATGATTCTATCACTCTAGATCTACCTTCTTTTGATTTAAAGCCATTCCCCCTTGTCCTTTCACTATTTGCTTGTATGAAAAAAAACGCTTTCTGTCTATTACAGAACGCCCTGTCACTACTAGAAAGCTGCCATACGGTCTCTCCATGGTTTTCTCTTCACGAGGCAAAACAGYCCCAACTGTCTTAGCCTGTCTTCATGCTCTCCAGCCCTCTTAYCATTTTCATGGGCCTCCTCTGCACTCACTCTAATGGGTTCATGTCTTACCTGTACTGGATATCCCAGGGCTGGGTGCAGTATAGAAGGTGGGGGACCCTGCTGAGGGAAGAGTAAAACTTGCCTTGCCAGTTATGCTTTTTTTCTCATTTCATTTTGCTTGCAGGGTAATTCTGTTTTCATGCACTACTGCATGTTTCACTATGCACTACTACCTCTAAGTCCTTCTCTGCAGGGCTGATACTTCATAAAGATGCATAAAGGTGCCTATGTTGTCAGTCTCCTTTATTGATTTTCAAATAGCAAACATATTTTCATTTGCAGTGTTGAAGCATATGATTACTTTGTTTACATCAGTCTGTGTATTGCTAATATATTTTCGTATTAGACAATTAGTCTATTGCTGATTGTAAATAACTGACATTTCAGTACAAAGCATGTAAGTACAGTCTTCTAAGGAGAAACAAAACCTGTTCTGTGGTGGCACAGTATGAAACTTTCTGCAGTAAAATCACTTATTTTCTGTAAGTAAGCTTTATAAACAAAAGTAATTTTTTTTTCTGCAGTGCTGGTGCATAGATTCTGGTTCCTGTTTTAGCTMCTTGAAATTAAAGAGTCCTATTTCTGTCTTCCTAGACCACAGATTGAAGCCACAAATTTGATAGCTTAGAGTTTTCTGTGCAGCTCCCATGGTGCTGTCAGAGCTGTTTCTGTACCATACAATGCCATGTTTGAATTTTATATGTCTGTTGAAGGCTGTGCCAACACTTCTCTCAAAACTGCATATGATGTTGTAGTTGCATTGTATTTCTAAATTTTCAGGCCTGAGTTAAAATTGTAGTGCTAATTWTACAAAATATTCTGGCGATTAAAATGATGGCTTAGCCCTTGAATTGAAATCACTTGAATGGACTTGAATCAGTGGACTGAGTTCTAGCTTGCTAATCGTGAAATTCCTGATTTAGTTTCCTTAGGGATCCTGCTCTTCAGGAACTGTAGCCATACCCTATAGCTCCCACAACCCAGGGTCTCTGCCTAGGCTGAGGGATAGATGGACAGTCACATATGGGACATTGACACAGCTGGTTACACTGACCGCCAGTGACAAGATGCTGCCTTCAGCAGTGGAACTCACAAACACAAGCACAGCCAGCCATTTCCCCTCCTTCTCCTGGGCTGACAGCRGCAGAAGGTCATTAGAGTAGGCACACACGTGACACTTTCCAGGTTCACAAGCTCACATACATTTGTGGGTTCTCCAAACACCAGCACCCCACCCTCTTGTCCACCTCATGGGTTATCCCTACTCAGCAACTGATCCAGCTTGGTGCCAACTAGCAAACACTCATGCACTTACTCCACAGGCACCTCACACCCACAAATCCCCCCAAATAACACCTCAGACCCTCTGCCCRGCTGACACCTTTGCCTGGACCCAGAGCTCCCTACTCATCATCTGGTGCAGCTTTGAGTTTGCTGATGAATTATACCAGGGGTTGGAATCAATGATCCTTGTGGGTTTTTTTCCAACTCAGGATCTTCTGTGAKTCTATAACTTGCACAGACCTGCTCTGAAGAAGGTACAGGTTCTCAGCCCAGTCAACAAGCAGCACCACAAGGGCTGTGTCCACTTACGCTGAGTCTATCACCTTTGTAGCTGCTTTTTTTTTTTTTTTTTGGTGGGCACACAATGTTACCAGCCCAGCAACTTGTTGTCAAGACCCGTCCCTGCCACTGGCACAAAGACCCCACTCACTTTGGTAGCTGTCACCACCGGCTTGGGGCACCCAAACCCCTAGTCTGATTTTGCTGGTACCAAATCCATCACACCCATGTCAGTCCTCCCAGTAGCTGACAGTTAATCCCTGCAGCACTCTCAGCGTCCATGCACATGGGATAGGGACTAGAATTATGCAGASGGAGAGCTAAAAGCTTTGGTAATAGAACAGGACAGACTGCAGTGATCAGGTGCTAAGATTGGTCAGATAATGTACTAACCAAGTCAACTTGCAAGTAAAAGAATTACACCCTTTTACACCCCTTTCTGTCATGTCACCCAGTACCATGCACATTCCCTCAGCAGTTGGCAGAGTCCCACTGAACCCTCCTACATTCTGCATCTATGAGATTGCTTCCCAATAAGTCACAAAGCCCTTGTCTGCAGTTTTGTGATAGCACATCAGTTTCTGTGATTGACTGGGTTAGTTTCTGATTATTGTTTTTATTAAGTGGCCATGTTTTATGTCTGAACATCTTCCTTCTTTTCCTTATCTCAATTTGGCAAGGTGCTTAGTGAGATAGTCTTAGTGAAAAAGAATAATTTTCATAAACCACATATCCTTAACGATTACTGTGACTGACCAGGTTTGTCCTCATCCTAGCCTTCCCTGCCACCTCAGTCAGGTTTGACTCTGTAGGTTCTTGTTTGTAGCACCTTTGACCAAATACCCTCAAAGGAGAGACTTTCCTTCCATGTACCCTTTTTGTGTGGAATAGCAACTGGAGGAACTTGTCCTCATGATGTGGAAGCTGTAACGGGAGTGTTCAATTCATACAGCTGTTGTATGTCTAGATATCWACTGAAGAGTATATGACATAAGGGAAAACTGTGGCTTACTGGTTGCATGCAGTTACTTTGACTGTGTCTGCAGGACAGAATTGTAATGCTTGCAATTGTTTCTCAGGCTTCAGTGGTCTATGGAGTCCCAAAATGTGTAGTCTATAATTAGTAAAAAAAAAAATAGGAGTGGATGATTTCACTGAGATGTTGACAAAGAAAGGGATTGTTTTAAGAATGCAAGTAATCTATTACCATGTTACAGTTGATTTAGATGACATGAGTTTTGATAGACTTTCGAGGAAGACTGTACTACATAATAAACATTCTTGTACACTAACTCTGTGTAATGGAACAGTAAACATCAATTAGCACATAGACTGAAGGTGTTCAGGCAGGACCTAAATGTTTTCTAGGAGCAGAAGGGATTTTTGCTGATTACAGAATTAATTCCCATCATGAGGACTGCAAAAGTAGAAATGGCATTTTATGTGGCTGATTGCTGGTGTTTTCATATGATGATGTTAGGTAATASAAAGAGAGTATTTCAATGCATAGTATATCCCCAGCATTGTAGGGATTTAAGACTTGTTCAGCTTTCAAAGAGAAAAGCATCTGTATTATACTATCAGTGAGAATTCTGTGGGGTTAATGTTTCTCATAAAATGTATGTAGCTAGGAGATGTTAATTAAGAATCTATAATATGTACCTCATGCACTGGATTTTTAGATGAGACTCATTGTGGAAAGTTAGCAAATAGAATTTCTTTAAAACACTGCCTTTAAACATTAGATAGTTCTACTCAAAATAATGGAAGGATATTTATATCTAAATAAATACTAAAGTAATCTGTTCAGTCATGATGTGGAAAATCAATCTAAAAAGCTGTTTTTAATTACTGTTATTATGTGTATTCATTAATATAGCCATGGACTTTTCCTTTTTGCAGCATAAGAATGACTTTATTTGGTTTGTTGGGTYTTTTTTGAAAAAAATTGAAAATCTCAGCGTCAAGTGTAAGGTTGGAATGAAAGCTTGTGAGTGTTTGAACTCATATCTGTGAAGGGGTGTGGTAGTACTACAGCTGTTTTTATGAGTAGCACCATTTGAATGGACTTGAATCAGATAGAGTTAAACATCCTTTCTGTGTGGTCCAGAGGTATATAAATACCCATACATTTGTTGTGCTTATGTTGAGTACATAAATTCTTTTGATCCACATAGGTATAATAATATCAAATTTTSTATGTTTCTGGGTAGAGTGGATCACTCAATGTGGGCTGAAACCCAAAGTCTGAAATTTTGTTCAGTGTAATTAAAGTGTTAATTAAAGTAGAAATAATTTACCTTTTTTCCTTCCCTAGGTATGTATTCTTCTTGGATCCATGCAACATTGATCTAGTACATCAGAAGATTAAGTCCATTGCCTTGTGTGTATCAGCTTGCCCAAGGAAAGAACTGAAAACTCTGGCTGATATTCAGAAATTTGCAGAAACTAATGGTATGAAAAAAAATAGGTTTTTGTTCATATACCAGATAYTTTCATAGCATCAAAAAATGACTCATTTGTTAGCTGAACTAAAAATGAAGCGTGCGTTAAGAAATATGAATAGAAATAATGTGCTCTTTTCATTAAGCTGAAACAGTATGCTACTGTGTCATGGTGTCTTGGGCAGTTTTGAAAGCTTATTTTTAAAGCAGGAGTACAAAATGTAACAAGCATTTTGAGGGAGTGTCTGACTATAAGATATATTCTCAGCTCCTAAGCAAATGATCTGACATGGCTGCCTGACAGTAGTGCTGTTGAAATGTTATCATGTTTATGGGGTTAGTGAGAGCTGTGCTATATTTAATGGCACTTGTGGCACAGGGTACGGCTGTGTATGTGAAAATATTCCTGCTTTTATTTAGTGCTACAGTGCAGTTCCTGTTTTGTTTTGTTTTTTTTACGCTTTTCTTTTAAAAAGAAGTGTAAGGGAAACCAACTGTATTAACAAATGAAATATTATGCCSTGTCTTCCTTAAGAATAGTACTTTTTCTCAATAGTAGTTGTAGTTGTAATACTGACATTACTAGTTCCTATTTTAGCAGTCTATGGAATTAAATGCATGAGAAGTAACCAACCTTTGGACATACAAAAGAAAGTAAAGATAAAAACCTAATTTCAGGAAATTGCTGCATTTTTTAGCTATTCGARTGGGAACATTTTCCTAATGTGTAGGAACAGTCCTAAACTTATCTTCTTATTTTCTAAAACAATGCAGTAATATTTATTTGCAAGGTACTTAACTAAAAATGAGTCAGTCTGGATGACCCTATACAAAGCAGTGGAACTTTTCATAAAAAAAGCAAATGTTTCTTTCTGTACTAGCACAGGTTATGTGAGTACTTCRTATTGGAGAGCAGAGTGAGTGGGACACTGTTAGGGTCCTTGTTYTCCCACTACACTGTGCCTGCACACCTGGGTGTCTGACATCTAAATAAGGGTGCTGAACTCCCATGAGGTATCACAGCTTTCGTAGAGCTGCACAAACAGCTTCCTTATGTGGTCTGTGCACCATTGCTGATCACAAGTGAARTAGTCAATCTCTACAGTTGCATTCTTTACTCCTTCTCTGAGCATGCTGTGTTTTTCTTAACTAAAGCAGGCCAGTTCTTTGTTAGTATGAAGTGAAGGTCATTTGTGATGAAGTTTAAGTACTTTTTGAAGCAGTGGAATTCAGCCATGTCTTTTTTTATCACCAGCTATGTTTTTAAGTCAAATCTTATAAATTGTGCCTGAAATATGTTCAGTRTAGCTATCTTTTAAAGTACAACAAAAACCACTCTACCCAAACATGCTGTGCTATGYATTTCCCTCAGGATTCTTTGTTCTATTTGTATTTTCCTTAGAGCTTTAGATTTTAAAACCTAAAGATGTATTTCCTAAAAAACTAATATGACAGGCAATTTTTTGCAGTTTCCAGAAGCRTGGTCAAAAGTATAAAACCTGATGCTTGTACAGAGAAAAACCACTAATGAGTTCAATTCCTAATTTTCTTTACATGATAGTTGGCTTGTGAAAAACAGGTATTACACTAAACTGAGCTTTCCTTTTATAGATGAGGTCTGCGCAAGACTGAAATCACATGTTCAGAGAAATTTTGTGGTTATATTTCTGCTTCAATGTTCACCAAGCTATGGAAGTTCCAAAAAATGTTGGAACATTTGCAGCAAATGAATGGCTTGATTATTAATTATCTTATCTGTTGYGTATATATACATATCAAGTGTGATTCAACAAGAAAATAATTKTAATGTTTTAAATGTATAGTAAAGAATGCAGCCAACTCCTAATTTTGCTGTGTTGAGCCTTTCTGAAAAGTTTTAACTCTTCTTCCATCCTAAAAATAGGAATTGTCTGGAGACAGACTCTGTASGAGTTGCATGTGCTTTTGTAGTGTTAGCTATTTTCACCTGGTTTATATGCCATCCCTGAAATCACCTTGCTTGTCCATGCACCTTGAAATTCTTTATTCAATTACTGCCCAAGAACCCTTCCACAACCCAAAGAAATCACCTGTKGTGCCTCAGCTGGCCATCAACAGGTGGTGTGGTTAAGTTCAGATAAATGTGTTTTCRAATCTAATTATCAAGAGCTGTAACATGTAAAACATACTAAAACATCTTTGTATTGAATAGTGATTTTATCAATATCCATATGATTTTCCATCTAGCTTAGCATTTATAGTATTTTTCCGAAAGTGAGACAGGCTCTTRATGTTCTCACAACAGGACAGAACTGCGAATCCCATAGTTTCAGAACAGTTATGGCAGACCTTATATTTATCGTGCAGTTCTGCAACAGAGATTATAAATAAGCATTTTGGGCAGGGAAAATGCTTGCTTGAGGCAAGAAGACCGTTTCATGACAAAACAGCCTTTTAGCTTTCTGAGTCAGTAATGACGGACTTGCTCTTCTGCTGTAATTTGGGAAAAGGAGCTGATTTTGAATAACAGAGCACCATTTCAGGGCAGTAACTCTGTGAATAACAGAGCACCATTTCAGGGCAGTAACTTCATTCATACCTCTACCTCACTTGCCGTCTCACAGTTAGGTCCCGCCTTTGCACATTCCATCAAGGAAGAGAAGAAACCCATCCCTTACAAAGCCAGGCCAATTTTAAGAAAACAAGAAAGCTTTACCTTTAATGTGTTCAGGATAACTGACACCCACAAAACTGGAACCAGCTTGGACTTTTACAAGATGAAGAAAAGGGAAAGAGAAAGCTGGGCACTTGACCACTCCGATCTTTGATCTACACAGAGGTGTAAGTTGTACAGGAATATTCTGGAGCAACTCCTGGGAGTTACACAAGAAGGTAACGAGTGTTACCTGGGGAATGTTGTAATGCTGTTCTCAAACAGCARTAAGAGTTCTTGAGTTCATAGAACTATTGATTATTGAGCTATTGAGCATGTTATGTGTTGTGAATTGACTGATGTTGTTGTCCTCAGGATTTTCTCACCCAGCAGAGCACCTCAGGGCACAGAGTACTTGTGATCCAATGTTTTGGTTGGTCTTGGCCCTTAAAAAGGATGAATTTTGAGTAGTGTGACTGAAAGCCGTTTTTCMCAGAAACCCAATTGATGCTTCAAAACTTAATGTCTGTGATGTATTGCAATGTTACTCACCAAAGCTTTTTGGAATATCCTTGAAGATATAATTAATCTATGACTGTGCCAAATGAATAATGAAATGTCATTATTAAAGAGAAACACTAGACAGGTGGCCATAATTTCTATTGTGTTTAATTCATTGATAACTATAGTGTCTGCTTAATGTGTGAACTGCTACCCCTATTTGTTGTATAGATATCTGGATGCATATTTGGAAACCTAAAATGAAATTTCTGTTTTTTAGCATGTTGGTAGGCATCTGTGTTGTCAAAATTCTGTAGCTAGACCAGGCTATGTGTGGTCTGGGTGGACATAGAGCCAGAGGAAATGCTTCATTAGGTTTGCTACAGAGACTGACCTGGAAGAGATCAATAAAGGAAATCAGTCTGGCTGAGTCAGAGCAGGTGACATCTTTAAGCTATTAGAAGCAACCACAAGGGAAACAAAAAGGATTTTTCTTTTGTCTGAAGATAATGACATCTTTATGTGTAGTGGTTAAAGTACATCTTTGCCGTTCCTATTGGCACTTGCCTTAGAAATAGCTGTTACCTGGGTCATTGCCAGCTTCTGACATTTTTCATCTGCTCTTGTTCCCTCTGCCTTTGTTTTCAGTGAAAGAATGCTGTTGAAAACTTAATCCTCTGCTCATGATTTTCTTGAAGCATGTTGTACTGTGTTGGTTATAGGTATCTTATGCTTAAAGCAATTTGGAACCTATAGGTCTTTGCAAACATGGGTATTTTAATTTTGAGTGTCTTTTTTTTTTTTTTTTTTTTTTTTTTTTTTTTTTTTTTTTTTTGTTAAATAGAGTAAAAACAAATTATGAGCCCTTTTGAGGCATAGAGGCAACAACTGCTACTCTACCTTGTTACCAGAACTGTCCGTCAGGGTTGCCTTATATTGAAAATGTATCCTTCCAGTTAGAATGAAATTGTTTCCTCTAYAGAAAATGACTGCCTGTGGAGTCCTCCAGTAATACTGTATCGTGTTATTGATTACATTAATAAGCCATTTGGAAAGGGGAAGAAACAGTGAGGTTATATGTTTTATAGTGACTACTGAATTATTTAGAATTATATGAAAAAAACCTCTATTATCAATTGCAGTAGAATAAAATTTCAAATCAAAAGGAATGCACCCAGAAAGAAGGTGTGGGAAACCATAGTTATGCATATAGTGTTTTAATTTAAAATTGTTATTGGTACTTGAGGAAGAGATTGTGAAACTACTAAGGATCACAAGAGGATTAGGTTGGAAGCATGGCCTTGTCTGAAAATGTAACTTTTAGGAATTGTAARGAGGGACTGCATTTTGTGTAAACTCATGCTTTGTTGGCATCATAAAGTCTCTGTTCTGGTTCTTTCTTGACCAATTTTTTAAACTTATACACAAAGACACTCATGTGTTCACATACTGCAGAGAAAGGAAACAAGGATTATCATCATAGTAAAAGGACCAGTGATTTCCTCTGCCTGTAAAAGGGAWAACTATCAGGAAGAAGGTCATTAAAAGCAGGAATAGATTAGAGAAGGATGAAAAATTATTATTCCATGATCTCATAAACTGAGTAATGTGAAACTAAAGATCAAAAATGAAATCACTAAGCGTCAAAGAGTCAGATGTTTCTCCACAGCAGTTATGATAAATTTACAAAGGTTACTTCTGTGAGGCTATTTCAGATACAAAAAGATTAAGTTTTAGAAGACGTTTGGATATTTAGTTAGTACTGAAGGCYGTCCTTAAGCTCTAAGTGGTACAGAGCTAAAGATACAGTCGGAGAAACATCTGCTACTTGACTAGATGGGTTCCTAATTTGATTCCAGAATCACTGGTTTTATTTA